CCTCTCCTATGTTACAACATTTGTTACACGATGAGGGTAAGGTCAATGATTCTCTAGAAAATAACAAATTGGTATTAACAATGAAACTGGACATTTTATCTTATGTGATTAGCATGTCAATATGACAAAAGAAGTTATAACTTTCATCTTTAACAGAACAAAAAACTAACAAACAAAATAAACTAACATTGTTCAGAGTACATCATTTACAAGAAATATGATTATATTTATGTTAGCTACATTACAGTATTAAAACCAACAATAAACAGCAGTAACAACACTCGAATTAACATGAGCCATTCATAAAAATAATACGTTGTGTATTAAATCGAAATATTTTTTTCGATTTTACATGCAAAACAAACTATCCTTTATGTCTTTAGCATTTAACATATGCATTTCATCTAAACAATCTAAATTTCATTACGATCAAATATATAAAAATATTTAACAAACCAAAATATATTTTTTTTATTTTGACCGGTACAAAATGATAATCTACACATGAGTATTTATTTTTTTTTACAAAAATTAGTAAATAACGTTATTTATTATATAATTTATAAATAGCTTTGAAATGCCTTTCCCTGATTGGCTATCAAGCAACTTTTTGTAAAAAATAACTGGTCAATATCAGAGTATATCTTAATGAACAATTCTTATATACTGTTAGCATGCCGAATGCTGATAAAGTTGAATTTGAACCAGCGAAAAGCCATACGATAGTCATGTACTTTTATTTGACAATTCTTAACTAAGTATCAAAACTTAATTAATAATGTTATCGTTCCAATGTTAACATACAAATGTGAAGTATGGGGTGTAATATAAAATGTGGAAAAGTTGCATCTTTGATTTATTAATTTAAACAATGAGTGTATTTTATATGATATTTTAAGAAATGTTCCAAGTAAAGATATGACTTAGCCCACAATTTGTTCGGGTAAAAAGAGGTACATACGATGATTATAAAGTATGTACTTCAGAAACGTAATTGAAACTTATTACCTTTTTGTTTGACTTGCCAATGTTCAGAAATCTGAGATCCAAACATCTAGGACAATGCTAATAACCAACAGTACATAATTGTTTTAATAAATAAGAATAGGAAACACTTTTATTTCCAGTGAAAGCGATCATCATTGCATTATCAGTACTTAATTAATCCTAGAATTCTAATGTCTACCTATCGTGAATATCATACTTGAACACATATACTTTGCTTGTATTTTATAAATAGCATATGCATTGTCTTTGCGACAAAGGTATATTGTTAATGATCACAAAACTTGATCAAAAAGTTTTGCTGACCGACAATAACAATCTAAGAACTAGAAATATATAGCGCTGAAATTGTAGAACACAGCTATGTGACAGTAGCTCTTCCATTTTTACTGGAATTGTACGTAATACAAAATAAAGCCGTAATCTAATAACCAAAAAAATCCGTCCAAGTAAAAGATCATATTGAAAACATATCTCTTAAACTAGTCAAATCATTCTGTCACATTTTAATTATAATCGTACCTGTCTTAAAGACAAAACATATTTCAAAATTATTGTTTTCTGTTGTGGAAATTGAGAAAAAATACCACATTTGATCAATTAATGGCATTAATGTTATATTGACCAAGCCAAATGGCCATTTGGTTTTCAAACAATAGATTTGTCTTATTTTCATAGATCTATCGAATAGTTCACATGTGATGATAAAAGTCGGTACATGTTAAAGTTGCAAAATACAGGTTTATTCCAGCAAGTAAAATGAAAAGTGTAATAAAATTGGGAAAAATACCACATTTGATCAATAAATGGCATTATTGTTATAATGGCCAAACCAAATGGCCATTTGGTTTTCCAACAATAGATTTGTATAATTTTCATATATCTATCGAATAGTTCACTTCTAGTTCATCCGCGCAGTCTGATCAGGATCCATGATGTTCGCTTACCAACTCTATTACAAGTGGAGAAACTGACAGCGAACAGCATGGATCCTGATCAGACTGCGCGGATGCGCAGGCTGGTCTGGATCCATGCTGGTCGCATACACACTATGTTGGTTTTGTCGTGACGAAGCTCATTTGTTATAAATGTAGCATGCATGTTGGGCAAACTAAGCCAGTGTCAAGACGTGTGAGTAGTCACAAATTTGAGATACGTAATTTTACAGATCCCCAAACTTCCGCAAATGTTGTCTCATTAATACAACATGTAAATAACTTTGATCCCATGTGAGGAAGCTCTCTGGATACATAAAAACAGACTCAATATCCAGTTGTAATAAATGCAAAACTATTATTTTCTGTCCGTTGATTTACATACTGTCTGTGTATTTCCAAGTATTCTTTTTATTTTTCCTGTTAACACTTTTTATATAGTATATCTCTGTTGGAAATTTAATTATTTATATCCAAAAAACAATACCTTGGTCAAGGTTCTTATAAAATTTTTAATGTACATTTTCCGCCTATTAATATTACGTTTCTATTTACTGTTTGTTTTAATACTTATCCTGAAAGCGTAGGCCTAAACTCAGATATTTAAAAACAAGAGCACCGCTAGGCGGAGCATTATATGCCCAAAAGTGTTTTTTTTTTTAGTAAGGATGAAGCATTTGTAAGACATTGCATAAATTAAATAAAGTATAACCTCCTTCAAATAGCAATCCTCCTATAAAGTTTGAATATTGTGGGCCAAATGGAACTTAAGTTATGCTCTGGAAACTGTTTTCAGTTTTGAGGTAATAGCGACCTTGAACTTTGACCGTGTGACCCCAAAATCAATAGGGGTGTTCTACCCAATATGGACAATCATCCTATGAAGTTTCAACACTATGGGCCAAATAGAAATTAAGTTATGTTCTGGAAACTGTTTTCAGTTTTAAAGTAATAGGGACTTTGACCTTTGACCTTGTGACCCCAATACAATAGGGGTCTTTTACCCAATATGGACAATCATCCTATGAAGTTTGAATATTGTAGGCCAAATAGACCTAAGTTTATGCTTTGGAAACTGTTTTCAGTTTTAAAGTAAAAGTGACCTTGACCTTTGACCTTGTGACCCCAAAATCAATAAGGGTTTTCTACCCAATATGGACAATCATCCTATGAAGTTTGAACACTATGGGCGAAATGGAACTTAAGTTATGTTCCGGAAACTGTTTTCAGTTTTAAGAAAATAGTGACCTTGACCTTGTGACCTCAAAATCAATAGGGGTCTTCTACCTAATATGGCCAATAATCCTATGAAGTTTGAATATCGTGGGTCACATAGACTTAAGTTATTGCAGGAAACTGTTTTCAGTTTTAAAGTAATAATTACCTTGACCTTTGACCTTGTAACCCAAAAATCAATAGGGGTCTTCTTCCCAAAATGGACAATCATACTATGAAGATTGAACACTGTGGGCCAAACGGAACTTAAGTTATGCTCCGGAAACTGTTTTCAGTTTTAAGGTGATAGTGACCTTGACCTTTGACCTTGTGACCCCAAAATCAATAGGGGTCTTCTACCCAATATGGACAATCATCCTATGAAGTTTGAATATTGTGGGCCAAGTGGAACTTAAGTTATGCTCCGGAAACCAAATTGCTAACAAACGGACAGACGGATGGATAGACAGACAGACAGACAGACGGATGGATGCCAGGGGGTATAACATAATATGCCCGAAATTTTTTCGGGCATATAATAAATGTAAGTTATATTCACAGTGATGTTATTTTTTATACTAAAATTTATGTTTGTACAAAAGATAAAACTACTGCATATGATGCGCGTTAGGTTAGGTTTGTGGTAGCAGTAAAAAGTTGCCCCGTACTTCACATCAGTGTTGTTATATTTTGCTGGTCCTTTGGGATTATTGAGTCCAGCACTTTAAGATGTTGAGAATTGAGTACCGCTCAAACCGTTTCTAAAGGACGTAAGAGATACTGCACTGTTTCATTATTCCTCATGGTCAGACTAAATCAAACAGTCGGCAATTTTCATGTAATTTTGCTGTTTTTAATGCTTCTGAGGGATCGCTTTTAGCCAAATATTGAGTTCTGAAATTGGAAAAGGGAATGTATACTTCAATGAGTTTTGCAGAATTTGAAGTCTCAATTTTTCCATGTACATGTATTGTGTACAAATAAATGCGAAATTGATGGCTAGATCCACTTTGTTCATGGCTCAAAATGGCTTCATATTTTGTTATACTCATGGGTAGATTTTCTTTGATCTATTCATGGCTAGATCTACCCATTTTCTATTCATTGCTAATTTTATCTTTTATGTATCATATATGTATACATATTATATCTTTTTTGTTCTATTGATAATTCAGCTTTAAAGTAAGAAAGTCAACCAAGAAGCAATTATAAAGAACACAATGAATTTTTTTCACATTTATTATTCATAGATGATCATCTACACTCAATGGTAATAATCCAATAAACAAATAGCATTCAGCCTTAAATATAAACAGAAATGACTAAATTAAACATGGCAACTTACTTTAACATATACAAAAACAAATGATCAGACTACGGTGCTGAAAGTATATGCTAATAATAATAGAAATCCAAAGAAAATCTATACATCAAATCTTAGCAATCTTCTTGTGATTTGTTAAATTTGACACTAAACTTGCTTATGTCAAATAAGCAAGTTTGAGCATCTTAATACTAGTAAAAACTACCAAAACCTGATGTGCTACAGAGTGCATACTTATTAGATATACATGTAACTATATCCAGATAAAACAGGTGTAAATTTGTCAAGATTATATTAACTAGTGTCATATAGGTTATATACGTAACAAATGTTTTCAGCAAACCTGTGACAGCAATATGCAAGTTTTAAACAATTCTAAGTACACAGTACTTAAATGACAATAATTGAAAATAACTAACAGGGTAAATATGGCAAATAATGACATCTAAGTTTATATATGTTTGTACAAGATCATAAGTTCGAGACTAAGATTTATGAAAGTTTTTTTTTCTTCATAAATATCTTAACTTAAGCCACATGACTGATGAAACTTTATCTGTACCTACCAAAAATAAGTTATAACTTGAAGCCTAAATTTACAAGACTTTTTAGACTGAAAAAGAGTTTGTTTGTTTTACTTGATGGAGGACAATTGTGCGTTATTTTAGGTACCAGCAGGCACCAAAGTAGGACCTATAACATTTGTTAAGCAGGCTTGAAAGCTTCCTCACATGTAAGGTTCTTAAGTTTCTGCAAGGATTTCAAACCACAGGAGTGGAAGGCAAGTGTTTTAATGTTGGCAAACTTCACCACTCGGCCACAGGGTCCCCCCCTTGAAAAAAGGATTTAAACATACATCACAAAAATAACCCTTTGACTTACATAATGACTACACTGTGCAACTAGCTGATATATTTTAGGACAGGAAATAAATCGTCAATTATTATATAATATGGTGCATAAATTGCAATCATCAATTATAACATATGACAGTGGATCTTGAATACATGTATATTGCAGTATCTGAAGATGTATATGAATAACTGGAAAGTTTTATGTTCAGAACATAAAACTTTCCAGTAATTGTTATTACATCTATAAACAATTCATATAACTTTGCCTGACTAGATATTGTTAGCCTGTCATATACCGTCACCTTAGTGCAGTAACGGGTTAAGTCCTTCTAAATTTAATAATAGATACCCAGTTACTGCATTAAGGTGATAATACATTTGCATTAACTTTTTTTTAATAAATTCATTATACCTCTTAAGACTTAAAAAAATCTAAATATAACAATAACAGCCCTTTATACATGTCTGTATCTTTTACAATGAGCATTATCTTGAAATTTCTATGAAACTGTCTTTGAGATTCTATTTTGGAAATTATCACTTATTAAAGGAACTCCACTGAGGTCTAATAGCCTAAAATAATAATATGTGAATTTTTTTCATTAATCAGCTGGTGCACTTAAAAAGGAAAACTACGCAATAGGTAATATGTAAACATACAAGATAGTAGATACTTAATTGATACTCATTTTTACACATTTTTTGGTTCAAATGTTGTTAAAAGCATGGCAACGCTTTTCATTTTGGAGTCAATTTGCACAAAAAAATTGTAATCCCTAGGAAGTGAGGTGAGCAAATGGTGTCCTACATACAGTTATCCATTCATGTCAAAAAAACCTCAGTTGAGTCCCTTTAACCTTTGGCCTATTGAAATTGCATTATGGATTTTGACCTGCTTTGGATTAAAAACAGCTCAATGTTTAATGGAAGTCAATAACAAAATACAAAAAAAATTAAGCTGCCCAACAGTATCAAGTCAAGTCAAACTATACTGATGGCAAAGGTTCCAGCAGGGTATCAAGGGTCAATCAATCTATGAGCCGCATCATGACAAAACCAACATAATGGGTTTGCAACCAGCATTGCATCCGTGCAGTCTGATCAGCATCCATGCTGTTCGTTTACAAACCCTATTACAAGTAGAGAAACTGATAGCGAACAGCATGGATCCTGATCAGACTGCGCGGATGCGCAGGCTGGTCTGGATCCATGCTGGTCGCATACCCATTATGTTGGTTTTGTCATGACGCGGGCTCCTATATCTATTGCAATGTCTCTGTTGTTACCATGATGTTAAGGATTTTTTTTACATAGTCATCTAAATTATTCAATAGGTTAATTTCAAGTTCATTTTCAACAATAAGTATCAATCACAACAAACAAGAAACTGTTTTTGAGGTAAAACGTAAGTCAAATTATTTTATTGTAATTTTCTTATGTAATAGTTTAACAAAAAAGAAAAGAAAGTAACCATCATTTAACTGTGAACTGTTACCAATCATGACACCAGTGTTAAATTTCTTCATTTCCATTGTTTTTTGCTACAAAAATAAATATTCACTAATGTGTAAACAATTCAAACAGATACCTTGCATGTTATTAATAAAATAACTTCCTTGACACTGATCAAAGGTCAATCATCAAAATGTTCACACTTTTCTAACAATAATAAATATTCATTTAACATTAAAATTTTGAGACAGTCATACACTGTAACATATCTGATCTTTCACAGTTCCACTAACCAAAGAACATTAATATCTTTTAGTTGTGTCCATATGACAAACAAGAACATTTAAAGGCCCATATTGCCTCAGAAATACTCTCACTTTTATTTCTAAATAAAACTGTTTAATGTTGGTATGTTGTTTCAGTTTCCAAAAGCATACTCATTTGCTATATACATCAACTATCTTTTTGCATTTTTGGCAATTGGTATAATTATAGTGAAGAAGTATTTTGTATGGAGGTGTTAATACCACTTTGTTTACATTTTTCTACATTAAAGACACATAACTTCATGTTTAGCATTACTTTTTTCAGTTGTAAAACATCTAACATGCACTTTTTCCATTATTTAAACATTATTAAACAAATGTTTGACATTTCTAAAGAATTAGACAAATATAGATTTTTGAGGCATAATGTGCCTTTAAGAAAAATACTGATCACTTTAAGGAATTTAACCGTGTTCTTGTGAAAACTGACATCATAACCCTTCCATCAAATTGCCTTGTAGGGAAAGTGAACAAAAATATCTTTGGATATTCTATGTGAAAAACTATCTTAGGCTATCCTTGAAAAAGTGTTGTCATACATATAAATAGAAGAGTAGCTGAATTAAAATGCTTGGCCAAACTTTCATTTTCAAAGCCTTAAGATAAGTTTACAAATTATATCTTGAATAAGTTTGTTTGTCTAACAACATGTATTTAACTAAGGGTATCTTCCTTGGTTAACATCACATATACATTACCAAAATAATTCAGTGGATAGAACAACTACCAGTTTACAACATAACATTTACTAGTATATCAAACAAATATCACAAAATATAACAATCAACTTATCTTGGTGTACCTTTCTCAATATTACCAGTAACTTTTCATCCATTCTAAAAAAAGATGTCTCTTCTTTAAAAAAAAAAACAACAACAACAACAACAATTTCACGGCATCCAAAATAAAACTTAAGTTCAAATTCTGATACTCTGTGCACTCCTAATTGTGTGAAATCTGTGGCTTACAAAAAGTTTTTGTGATAACATTTGCTCGGACAAATTTCACCAAAAATCAGGTAAAAGTTGCAAAATTTCTTTACTGCAACATCTTTTCAAAGTATATCAATTAACTGTTTTGATTCCTATACAAACTTATAACTTAAACTTATTTTACCAAACATTTCCAAGCATGTTAAAAAACATAAAATACAAAAAGACTTTAAACATAGTACAACATCTTTCCGTTTCATTAAATATAAATAACTTCAACAAAAGGGAGACAACTTATTCCAAATATTTAAGTAAGAAAGATTATGTGTAGGTAGAGAATTGTGTATTTTCACATCTACATGATCACTTTCTAATATTGGAATTGACATCTTAACCCTTTCAGCCCTGATAATAACAGATAACAAAGCCAGTGTAAAACTTGGTCAGCCATCACTTTTATTCAGTGCGGCCAGGTTCAATAACTTACGGGCTCCATCTTTCCTCTATTTAGGAAATGAACAGTTATAAATTATAAGTAGAACGCGTCGATAACTCTTTATCAATTTTGGTAAGAGTTCAATCCTAGTGTTATATATGATAGCTACTCCAAAGGAATATGTTCATTCATACTGCACACATCTTGCATGAAAAAACACTATTTTCTACCATAACTAAACTGTTTCACTTCACATTAATATTATAAGTATCTATATTGAATGGTGATGAAAGTTTATTTCACAAGTTAGTAGCAACACTTTTTTATTGTACTCTTTTTTTTTCTTCTAGTTTTCATAAAAAATATAAAGAGTGGCTTGACGTGTACCAAAAGATATAAAAATATAACTTAATGGAAAAAAAATCAAAATGGTTCTCTACTAAACATGAGTAAGTTTACACAAATATATAAATCATAAAAATATGTATATAATTGTTCCAGCCATAAACCAAGTATAATTTGATAAGGAAGCTACACATATATTCATACCCATTTTTTCTTCTTCACTAATCATGCAAACAATTTTCAATGTTTAAATCAAACCTATTTTAAAGTAAGCACATCTGAAAAACAAAAACTCAAAATATTCCCCACAAGAACTTTAATATTTCTAACATATTGTCTCAATATATATAAAGATATGTATGAAATTTCATGTGAATGTCCATGGTGTATTCATATGTAAATTTGAGAATAACCAACCAAAATATGTCCAGATGTCTAACTGAAAATCTAACAGTCGACATTTTCCAACCATACTTTTGAGCAAAGTGATATGAAAAAGACCCTTATAACTGTTCCCATACTGAAAGCCTTTGTCTCTCTAAAACAACTGAAAAATCCACTCATAAAATCAGCAATCATACACCATAAAACAATCATCTAAATAACAAAACAAAAAATACTCAAATTCTACCATTCATTTATAAATAACAAACTGCATCTTTTCCATCTTCTGTGGTAGTGACCAATGAAAAAACCCAATCTTTAGCTATTGCAGCAAGTAAAACCTCTGTTTTAATCTATTTACAAACAAAACAAGTCTTCATTCTGTAAACAATGTTCAAAAAAGTAAAATGATCTGTGCGTATTACATTTGGTTCATGCTTAAAATATGTTTACATTCGAAATAATCTACAGTTTCACAGAGGGTCAATCCTTCGCCAACGAGGTGAGAAAGTTTTTCACGTCATCCATCTCCTGTAAGGTAAAAAAAAATAACAATTTAATGTACAGTTTATTTTGAATTTTTCATTGCAAGGAACTGCATTTACGCATTCACTTGATGCCTACTTCATTCAACAATCAAACAACAATATTTTCTTCCAGTGTTTTGCTTTTTCGGATTATGATTTTGCGGACAACCTCAAAAATTTTGCTCCTTCACATATCCAATATTTTGACCCCTATCACTTTAGGAAGGGCTTAATAAAGAAAGCACTAGGTAACTAACACCTTTATCATTGCTACTATATCAGACACATGAAAACTGGTCCAATAAAAATCAAACTCTTTTTGTTCGACTTAGGCCAATTATTGGTATGTCATACTGTAGGACTTGACAAAATGCATCTACATACATAGTACCAACATCAATGCACATACATTTAATAACCAATCCTTTGATTGGCTATAACATGTTGTATTGAAGTAAATGGCCATAAAATATAAAACTTAACAGATAAGATAAACAAACAGAGACGCTGAGCAGGTCACAACAATCGTCCCTAGCTCCCCTTTTTCTTTTTAAATGTTTCATGGCCTACAAAGATTTAAAAAAAACAATAACAGGTCCTAACCTCAGGACATGATGAGTGTTGTATGGGATAATCTTTAAAATCAATTTTTGTCGTCATTTTCTGAAGTACATCTCTGGTCATTTCTCCCCACTTGAATGGCACAAGAGGATCGATTCTACCATGACCTTGAAACACTGGAATGTTCCTGTTCGCTTCTTTAAGGCCCTGGAAGTAATAAAAAATCATAATAATAATAATAATAATTGAGACTAAAATATAATTGTATAATTCTTTGTCAAAAACAATAAGTAAAATGAAATACAAGTTACAAATGATTTCGAGATACTATGTTTTTTTAATTTATAACTTGTGAACAATGTACTTGAATTTAGTTCGATATTTGGTAAAAATTCAAAATATACAGAGATATTTAGTTAGTGAATATCTACTACCTTAAAGGCACTGTTTGCAACTATTTTGATCTTTGATAAAGAGAAAATAGTATAGCCAACCGTTTTGGACTTAACTCTGTATGATCTGAAGTTGCTAAGGATATTTCAAGGATTGAAAGTTTTGAAAATGCGAGTAAGATATATTTCACAACATAAACATTTTTGATCAACAATTCTGTCTTAATTAAAGGTACCTTCAATCTTCATTAAATACTTATACCTAAATAATTATTTAACTTTGGCTTTAAGTCAAACTTAAGTGTTCAGGCTATTGGATTTATCCGTGTTTTAAATGACTGAAGATCTAACAATACAGGAGAGACCGTAATCATCAGTTTACTAAAATGAAATAAAGTAAACTGAATTGTTCCCTACTATACAAAAGTTTGGGGATTTTTTGGTTTGTTTAAGTCACACCAATACTGAAAAAGTTAAATGGCGAATTTCCAGCTTTACAAGTAGAATTCGAATTCACTTTGTTAGGCAGTAAAGCAGTAAAAGCAAGTAAACTTTATTAGTCATCAAATGAAATTATGCAGGGTCATGCCAAAAAAGAACCTGTTATTAAACAAGAGGGCCATGATGGCCCTAGATCGCTCACCTGACTTATCAAACTCATCTAAACAATTACCTAGACAAGCATTCTGACCAAGTCTCATGACAGGTGAGTCAAAAATGTGACCACTACAGTGTTAACAAGGATTATCAATATTTGAGCAGTGCGACCTAGTTTTTTACCCAGGTGACACATATTCAAAATTGACCTAGAAATCATCAAAACAAACTTTCAGACCAATTTCCAGGATACTTGGATCAAAACAGTAGCAACTAGAGTGTTAACAAGATTTTTCTATTTTTAGCTCCGGTGACCTAGTTTCACATGCGATTTCGAACTCATCCAAGCAATTACCTAGACAAGCATCCTGACCAAGTTTGATGATAATTGAGTCGAAAATGTGACCACTAGAATGTTAACAAGGTTTTTCCATATTTGGGCGGTGTGACCTGGTTTTTCATCCAAGATGACCCATGTTCGATCAAAACAAACTTTCAGACCAATTAACAGAATATTTGGATCACAACAGTAGCCACTAGAGTGTTAACAAGATTTTTCTATTTTTAGCTCCTGTGACCTAGTTTTACTTCCGAGATGTCCCATGTTCAATTTATTCCCAGCAATGACCTAGACAAGTTTCCTGACCAAGTTTGATGACAATTGAGTCAAAATTGTGACCACTAGAGTGTTAACAAGGTTTTTCTACTTTTAGCTCCTGTGACCTAGTTTTTCATCCGAGATGACCCATGTTCAAACTCATCCGAGCTATCACCTAGACAAACATCTTGACCAAGTTTGATGATGACTGATGCAAAAATGTGACCGCTAGAGTGTTAACAAGGTTTTTCTATTTTTAGCTCCGGTGACCTACTTTTTCATCCGAGATGACCCATGTTCAAACTCATCCGAGCTATCACCTAGACAAACATCTTGACCAAGTTTGATGATGACTGATGCAAAAATGTGACCGCTAGAGTGTTAACAAGGTTTTTCTATTTTTAGCTCCGGTGACCTACTTTTTCATCCGAGATGACCCATGTTCAAACTCATCCGAGCTATCACCTAGACAAGCATCTTGACCAAGTTTGATGATGATTGATGCAAAAATGTGACCTCTAGAGTGTTAACAAGGTTTTTCTATTTTTAGCTCCGGTGACCTACTTTTTCATCCGAGATGAGCCATGTTCGAACTCATCCAAGCTATCAACTAGATAAGCACCCTGACCAAGTTTGATGATGATTGATGCAAAAATGTGACCGCTAGAGTGTTAACAAGGTTTTTCTATTTATAGCTCTGGTGACCTAGTTTTTCATCCGAGATGACCCATATTCGAACTCATCTGAGCTATTATCTGAACAAGCATCCTGACAAAGTTTGATGATGATTGGGTCAAAAATGTGACCACTAGAGTGTTCACAAGGTTTTTCTATTTTTAGCTCCTGTGACCTAGTTTTTCATCAGAGATTACCCATGTTCCAACTCATCCAAGCAATTGACTAGACAAGCATTCTGACCAAAGTTTGATGTTGATTGGTTCAAAAATGTGACCACTAGAGTGTTCACAAGGTTTTTCTATTTATAGCTCCTGTGACCTACTTTTTCATCTGAGATGAGCCATGTTCGAACTCATCCGAGCTATCACCTAGACAAACATCCTGACCAAGTTTGATGATGATTGGGTCAAAAATGTGACCTCTAGAGTGTTCACAAGGTTTTTCTATTTTTAGCTCTTGTGACCTAGTTTTTCATCCGAGATGAGCCATGTTCGAACTCATCTGAGCTTTCAACTAGATAAGCATCCTGACCAAGTTTGATGATGATTGAGGCAAAAATGCGACCGCCAGAGTGTTCACAAGCAATTGTGGACGTACGACGGACGGACGGATGACGGACATTCACCGATCCTAAAAGCTCACCATGAGCAAGCTCAGGTGAGCTAAAAAGCATTCAGTATACATACTGCTGGAAATTCTGAATGTATTGGCAGCCATGTACTTAGTCCAACAATTCCTGCCAAAGGTTTATCATGAGTAAATGCTGTGTATAGAGCAACGGCGCCACCTTGAGAAAATCCACCTAAAATTATGTTCTCTGACGATATCCCTTTCTTCTCCTCCTCTTCTATTAATTCACGTACTGAAATATACATGAGAATTTCAAGTCATGTACAGCTGTCATTTATTCAGTGCAAAGCATATTATGATATATCAATATCCGATGACAGATAGTGACAGTGCAGTTTTCATATTTTTACAAAATATTTTACTAATGGTAGCTTTTACACTTCTTCACCTGCTGAATTTCTTAGACTTGTCTAGTTTCCATTTTTGGAACTGTCCATTATCAATTCTTGGTATATCAAGATGAACTTTAAAGCAAGTAAGCCTACAATATAGAGCATGCATTGATGTGCACAGGCTCAACATGTATACTGGTTTGCAAATCTAATTAATATTCTCTGGTGGTCTGGTAAACAATATAGCCATCTTAGATAAGATTTTAGATTTGGCCTTTCAACTCTTTGTTATCACCACATATAGGTTTACACCCTTAAGAAAAGAGTATTGAGTGAAAAACTTATAAATTACTAAATACCAGAACTTAACAATGGCAAAAAACAACAGTATTACTAAGTTAAAAGCTTTGTTTTTTAAATCTCATATATTTGGAAAACTTACAGGATGATACAGCTTTGTTTATGCCAGCCACATCTTGTTGTCCATCAGGGTTCAATGACACAATGTCAAACCTACAAAGCATTATCAAATATAATGAACTATTCATAGAGTATTTTACGAGATCAAAATATTAATTCTTAAAAAATAGTTTGCATAATTTCCTTTTTTAGCAAGGAATTTATTCTTTTTTAAGTGATTAAAATACATACAGCTTTAAGCTTGCAGGATAGCTTCCTCTACAAAAGAATCCAGGTCTCTGGCAAGATTCAAACCCACTGCATGAGGGGCAAGTGGTTTGTAGTAAATGACTAAGATGAATGGTTGAAACTTTGCAAAAACCCTCAACACTGCCCTGGGAATTGGTAAGGGTGAACAGCAGCTTGCAATTTACTGTTACATACTGTTACATACAATTTTTTAGGAACTGTTAATTCACCAAGATTACACAAACTCCTATCTTATTTTCTAATTAAAAATTGCCATTTTGAGACTACATTTATTTCAAAGAAATTTTTTCCAGAATTTTTCTAAATTATGTGATTACTCAAAAACCATTTCCCATTAAAATTAACAGAATGATATATCAATTTTTTTGCAATGAATTTGAACTGCAGGTTGTTTTATGTTGTTATTTTCTTAAGGGCAACAAAATGTGCAAGATTCAAAATGCATAGCATTTTATCTATGCAATCTTTAAAATCTAGTTGAAAATTAATTCAGTAGTATACAATTAAAGAAGACTGATAAAACTTCTGGCTCTGAAGGTAAGTATATGCAAGATTGCATATCTAATCTGGCATACAATCGAACATTGTAAAGCCAAATTTCAAAGCAGAACAAAGGGGAGAAGCAGCAGTGGTCTTGCGATTCAGTTATGTCTCACTACCCTGAGATGATGACTTTGAGCCCTGCTGGGATAACAGCCATGTTATATGATACTTTAATTTCGGAGTACAAGTCAATTCTGGAGTGTGTTTCAAATAGACTTCAAGTTTCAATCACAACCAGGCTAAATATGTTTACATTAACATATCATATATAATTTATACAAAATGAACTACATACGACATAGTTATAAAGAGTTATGAAATATTTCAAAGAATTTGTTATTTAATAGTAAGCTGTCTTTTCACTGAAATCGTTTCAAAGCAAAATATATCCAATTACAACATGACAAAACAAGCCTGTATGCTAACTCACAATTTGAACTTAAAAGAGGGTATATTTAGTCCCTTATTTTATCATACATGTATTCTTACTTACCATGAGGGCATCATGAAACCACCATTCAAAGTAACTGGCATCACAGGTCTAGAAAAGAAACAATGGTCATTTGGTTTATACAAATTTATTTTAGTTCGATTGTGTTGGAAGCTATAAGCTTATTGAAACACTCTCGAATCCGTTCCTGGAACCAACCAGTACTAAGCAATGAATGTAAAGTTTCTTGCTCAAGGAAACAACGGCTTGTCCCTGACAGGGTTTGAACCCACGCGGTCAGCAATCCTTAGATTACTAGTCCGACGCGTTAACCACTCGGCCACGCCGCCACTAATGGCATTTAAGTACAATCAACCATTATCTACCATGTAAATCCAATATCTTCCAAACTAAATTGGAAAAATATTCAAAATAATAAAGAAATATAATGAATTGAATTGAAAATAAACAAAATTAATAGCCTGATTTAACACACAAGTTATTGGTTTAGACCTACATCAAATTGTACACAAATCTCAAAAAAAAAAAATCCAGTCCTGTAATGTCAAAAAAACCTCTGACATTGTGGAGTCCTTACAGGAAGCAAATGAATTAAGTAAGGGTCCATTCAAAAATGACAGAATTGTGCTAGTTTCAGTTATGTTTAATTCAGTTCTTTCAATTTATCAAAATTCTATAAAGTCTAATCCAAATTCAAAAACAGTAAAATTTTAACACCTGAATCTCAGTAACTATGGTTTACATGTATTTTCTATCAGAAGACAAATTATACAAAATCAAACAATCCAATTAAAGTCATTAAATTTACAATTAAATTGCATTTCAGTCTTTCTCCTTTAATAATAATTTCATTGATAATACTTTGCATTCAAAAATTTCAAATAAAAATCATAATTTCTCTTGTGTAAAAGTGAAAACAATTCAATTGGTTTATACAGAATTTATTTTAGTTCGATTGTACAGGAAGCTATAAGCTTATAAACGCACTTTCGAATCCGTTCCTGGAACCAACCAGTACTGAGCAATTAGTGTAAAGTTTCTTGCTCAAGGAAACAACGACTTGCCCCTGTCAGGGTTTGAACCCATGCGGCTAGCGATCATTAGATTACTAGTCCGAAGCGTTAACCACTCGGCCATGCCGCCACTTAAACAATTCAATTAATACTGAGTGCATTTGAAGACCTACTCAAGATCTAATTTTGTATTTTCAATTTTAAAGTCTAAAATACTTGTGTTTGGCTTTAAAAGAGTTCAATACGTTAAATAATCTGTACGTAATATTTTCATTACTGATAAATCTTTCTCATGAATTCAAAGATTTATCTCAAGCTACATATTATGATATGAATGTGCAATTTCATGATTAAATACATTCATATCTTCTGTATATATTTTTTCTAGAGAGATATGTGAAGTTAACAAAATCTTAATCTTGACTTTAAACATAAGAAATCAATGCTCACTTGCTACATCCCAGATGCACTTTTTTATATATACATTCAACACTAATTATGTTAATTTATTCAACATTTTGTATTATGACAAAATTTAAAGCAATGATAAAACTTATGTGTGATCAAATATACAAGATTTTACTTACGCTGTAGGGCATACACATTTTATATTCTTTAATTTCAACTGTTTAAATGCATCTGACCAGGCTTGTCTGAAAAGAAAACCAAATGATTAAGTTCAGTAACATGTATACTGTCAATGTCGTAACATAATTATGATGATATTAATCTTATATACAATTTCTTTCACATCTTAAAATCTTATTACTTAAATTACATGTACACAATAATAATGATAATAACAATGATAATAACAGCACACATGACTATTCACAATACTTGATGGTAAAACAAAGCCTGGATAATGTAGGAATTTATTCAAAACTGGAACTAACACAGGTCAGGCATGATACATGATACCACTACACACCATAATGCAGTCCATGCCAGAGTTATAGACCTTGGAAAGTGACTTCCAATTATGATCCCACAGATATGTCTTAATGAAATATCACTTGAGAATTCATCTTCAGTAGTTTTGAATATTGAAGTTACAAAACTTAAACTAGTAATTTTCAAAGTTCACAAAAGGCCATAATTCAGTGAAAATCCATGTCAGAGTTGTGGGTTTCAAATTATAATTTCACAGACATGTCTTAAGATTCAACTGAATACCTTCATTAGTTTTGGAGATCGGTATTGCAATGCATGGGAAACTTTGACCAAGAATTTTTCTTACTTCACAAAGGGATATAATTCTGTCAAATTCTCAGAGAGATAAAATCTTTTTTCTCCCAAACGGTGTTGATCTGCAGAAGTTGTACTGCAATATTCATAAATTTACCTTCCTACTATTTTTTTTTTTGTTAATTTGATACAATTTCCACAAACGAAAGACCCGATATTCTGAAACTATGTAACAACAGATGAATTTAAGTCAGAGACAGCAGTCTCACAGTCAGAGACAATGGAATGAGGCAATGAATTGTAGTAATTGATAGTACAGTCTGAGACAGATCAAATATTGGTTTAGGACTGTACATTATTTATTCCATGTAATGACTGCCTTGTATTTAGTTTTCTTTATAGACACTTTCTTAAAGTAAACATGCTTCCCAATTCATGAATAATAATAACCTTGCAATATCAAAAGATATGCAAGCTTCTTTCTCCTCAATAGTTTTGAAACATATAGCATACACTTGTGTTTACATGGCATAATTTAAATAGTGGTTGAAGTTACTGCCATTAAATACAAATTATACATGTAGTCTACATGTTTTGTCTCACTTAAAACAAGGAGTTATATGATAATGAGTATATGTTTAGATCAAATCCCATTGCTAATACTTGTATATGAGCAGAATACATATGTATGACATCCTAAATAACAAAACAGTTCAAACCAAACTGGCAAGATAAGGCATACTATTATCATGTTTTACTATAACATTATAAATCATTCTTCACAACACAGCAACAAACTGTAATATGAGGTAATATGATGACTTTTCATCTTTATGAGCAGGAAGGTATCAGAAGCCCCCTCCCTGAGGCATCAGAAGCCCCCTCCCTGAAACATCAGAAGCACCCTCAATCACCTCCCTGAGGCATCAGAAGCCCCCTCCCTGATGGCATCAGAAGCCCCCTCCCTGAGCATTCAGAAGCCCCCCTCCTTGCAGATCATCAGAGGCCCCCTCCCTGAGGCATCAGAATCACCTCCCTGAGGCATCAGAAGCCCCCTCCCTGAGGCATCAGAATCACCTCCCTGAGGCATCAGAAGCCCCCTTCCTGAGGCATCAGAAGCCCCCTCCCTGAGGCATCAGAAGCCCCTTCCCTGAGGCATCAGAATCACCTCCCTGAGGCATCAGAATCACCTCCCTGAGGCATCAGAAGCCCCTCCCTGAGGCATCAGAATCACCTCCCTGAGCATCAGAAGCCCCCCTTCCTGAGGCATCAGAAGCCCCTTCCCTGAGGCATCAGAAGCCCCCTCCTTGAGGCATCAGAAGCCCCTTCCCTGAGGCATCAGAAGCCCCTTCCCTGCAGCATCAGAAATCACCTCCCTGAAGCATCAGAAGCCCCCTCCCTGAACAGCATCAGAGGCCCTAATCCCCAATGCATCAGAAGCCCAAGCAGGCAAAATTCTGAGTAGAACAACCAATCTTTAGTAAGCTAGTCTCTAAAAGAATATATGCTACATGTCACGGTTTTGTTTGTTTTGTTTTGTTTAAAGGTGCATCAACAAGCCGTGAATTTTGACTAACCTTGTGTGTTACAAACTTAAAGCAACATGTCAGGGTTAACAGCAGTGTGAACCATGTTACATTTTTCGAGATACAGAACAAGCCATTATAATAACCATACAAACAAGTAAAATACAACATAGAAAAACCAGATCTTACCCAGTATCTCCTAGTCCATGAAGGAAGATCAACTGAAAGAAATAAAGTAAATAAATTTACTTTATATTGTTTAAAATATTTATTTTATTATCTAACATATGCTTTAATAGCATGACCCAGTTATAAAATATGACTATTTCAGTCAGTACTAACCATTTTCTATAATAGTTTTACATATTTGTTAACTAATATAAAACAAAAACTGTATGACTAATATCATAGCTCATAACTTTTGAACATCAAACAGAAAGGGCAAAGTTCTACCACATCTCAGTTGTAACCTATCATTACTAATAATTGATATGTGTAAATATTAACAAAGAATAACAAGTGTTATTGAAATTAACAAACTTAATATCAACACTTTTTAAAATAGTTACAATACAAAAAATATACATTTTATAAGAAGTGTGATTATTTTAATGTAGTATAGATTAAACATGTAGCTTAACTAGGGTTAAAGGCTTTCTCCATGGTCAGATAGCCCATTAGATGCTTATTAGTGTATGTAGATGTTTCCTTTTAATTAAATTACATAACAAACATGTATAAAATAAATTCAAAATCCTAGAATTTCATAACATCTCATTAAGTCATTTTATTAAATAAACTGCAAAGTCTGTTAGATCCTGTGAATTAATTATTATATTTATGACCTATATATTTTATATCATATAACCTTAGTGCAAAAACTCAATAACTGCATATAGATAAAGAAGCAGATATTGAGTTCTTGCACTAAGGTGACGAATTATATTATATTCATAATACTAGAATTTCATTACATCTCACTTTCTTGTACAAGAATGGCAAGCTTTGCTTTAACTGGAGAAAGTTCTTACAGCTGGGAAAACAAGTAACTGTCAACAAATGAAGAGAAAACTGAAAGTAACTTAATTACAACTCGAGCTATCTAATTACTAGTCTCTCATAGGGTAGGTATTCCTGTCATCTCAACAAGATCTCTTTCCTATAGCTGGTTCATTTAATTTCTCCCCAGACAAGAACAAAAATAGTGATTCCATACAGCAGACAGATACATCTTTCAGATACATGTATTTCCTTGTCTCTATATATAGTACTTTTAATGTTAAATGACTGGCAAGATAATATATCTTCCTAACACAAGTTTTACAGTTTGAAAAATTTGATTTTAGCATCAAATTTTTCACTTACATCTGAAGAGTACAACTTAAGTACCAGTAGTTCAGACAATAAATATGTCAGGGGAAAAAAAGCAACAGACAAAAATTGTAAAAAGTTACCCAGTTGTAAATGATGTATTTATATTCATTTATTTTTTGAATTAAATAGTTGAAAATCACAAACTTGAAGGTTTATTTGTTCATGCCAGAAAATGGAAGAATTTTCTCTCACATCTGCCCCAATTTAACTAAACTATTAACAAACATGAATTCCTCCCAATGTTAAGTTACCATTTCCTACAAAATGTTTTATAATGAGGGCATTGTAAACGTAAGTCAATGGTGTTACATCTTGAGCAATGAAAGAACTTAAATTATAGCTCTTTTTTTTAAATCATTTGTTTTTGAATGGTGCATTTATATAAGTATTCAAAATGCAAAAACAAAGATAAACAAAGATATATAATATTTCAAGTAACAACCATGTTATTATAACTTTGTCAGAATAAAGTGATATTTAATTATACATGTAATACAATGCTTCTTCAATTTCAAACTGTATACATGTACTAACCTTAACATTATGATTTATTTTTCAGACAAATATACAACTAGTATTGGGAATACTATCTGTGGGAATATACAGTTGTTACTGCTCCATGTCACAAGAAAACATGTATTTCATTGTAGTGTTTTAACAATGCAGAAATAAATGAATTTGGAAATCAATGTCAGAGTTATTAATAGGATTTAAACAAGAGCTGTCAATAGGACAGCATGGTTGACTAATCTGGGTGCTTGATTGTAAAATAATAGCCTTGATAATGTAAGAATCAACAGAGGAAAATTTCAATTACAAAATTACAAATAATGTACATGACATAGTAATGAGTCTTGGATATTTAAGAATTTTGTTAAGTTCACAAGGGCCTTCTTTCATTCAAAATCCATGCCAGATTTTATTTATATGGATCTTTGAAAAGTACCTGCATGAACATGAATCAAGTTTCAAGTGAGATAGGTTTCATGAAAGATTAATCTTGCAAGCAAACCTTAAACCAAAACTTTTCTAAGTTCACAAAGGGCCATAATTAAGTTAAAATCTATGTCAGAGTTATGAGCCTTAGATACTGAACTCTAAGCATGATCCCGAAGACATTCAATTAGTTGCATGTGAAAACTTTCAATAGTTATGAAGATTGATATTATATGAATCTTACACTGGCAGCCGGTACAGACCGGAATATCTAGCTCTAGGGTGACTGTTTACAGCGGTAACGAGGCTCTGCCTAGTTTCCGCTAAACAGTTACCCGAGAACTAGATATTCCTGTCTGTACCGACAGCCGGTGTTTGATTCTTTTTCTTGCATATTACATATCAATTATTTTCAGAACAGAAACTTCGAAAACTGATATTCTCATTATGCTCTTTTTTCTTATAGTAGCGTATGAACTTACAACTTTATTCAAAACGGTTAAGTGTCCTCATCCTAAGAACGCAATTCATTCATAAAATGCGCGCGGCAATGACATCATTTAAAGCACACAACTTGTCTTACATGGGGGGTGTAAGACAGAGTTTTCTAAGCACCGGTGTAAACGGTAGATAATCCTGTCTGATATGCAAGAAAGCACTATAAAAACTTGAATTAATAAAAGAATTTTTCAAGTTTAAAAAAGGGCCATAATTAACATTTAATTAACACTGAAAGTAGATTTTGTATCCATGGATGCAATACATGAAGAGTTCCTGGCATTCTGAAGTAAGTTTATCAAGCAGGCAGGACATAGACAGTGTATAATGTGGTTTCTAGCTAAGAAAGTGAAACAACAAAGCAAATATAAAGCCAGGAACTCTATTTGTATTGGCTGGACAAGAATATGCTCTGAAGTCTGCTATCTTTACTTTTTGGAGACTTTATTTTTAGTGACTGGGATTTTTTTGATTTTTCTATATGATTTTTATTGACAGTTGACAGGGACAGATCAAGCAAGGGTGGGTCTCAACCCAAGTGTATGTACATTATTCTATGAAATCATAGATCTGCAATTTTTTCAATGTAAAAATGCAGGGCTCCTGTGTTGCAAACTTTGGACCAACTATCAGCCCCATTCCCCTGCCCCCCCCCCCCCCCCCGCCCTTAAAAAGTTAATGTAGGCCTGTAGTATGTTTTCCCTTCTTATTCAATAAAAATTTCCCCTAAAAAATTATGAGTAAATATTGATGACATTGATAAATCAAGAATGCTTTTATGAGCTTTAAACATTTAAGTGATCAATATTAGAAAGTTTTTTTGTGTGTTAAATTTCAGTCTATGAAATTCTCCCTTAAAGTTGATGGCAGAATATTTGAAGATCATGCAAAATTCACCCTGGTGAGTGGTCCCAGTTTCAAAGTGCTAATGAGAGCCCTGAGCACTATGTTGTTTCTGTTTCCAAAAAACTTTACTGGATTACCACATTACTTTTGTTGGCACCAATATTAAAGCTTTTCCTTTTTTCCTGGCAAAGAAACATTCATGATATGAAAAAACTCAAGAAAATGGTCCCAAAATGTGTCAATAGTAAGCCCTGGATGCAAATGTGTAAAACTTTAGGATGTCTTTAAATTACAATATATAATGCTGTTAAGTCGTATCTTAATTCTTTTTTTATACATACATACATACATGCCAGTTAAAATCTAAAACAGCGAGCAGAACTTTCTTGAGCTCGCATTTTTATTCATTTCAGAAGTTTACATAATTAATATCTACTGCAAATGCTTTTGGTAAGTGTGAGCTACAGCAACGGATGATGTTTATCGTATAATCTGTCTTAGGTTGTTCTTTTGGGTTTTTCTGTGGCTTTATTTAGACAGACTATTGATAACAGGCAATTACTATTGGTTAAGTGTCCAAGTAATTTCATGGTTTCATCAAACTACCGGTTTCGGCAAACATATTTTGTACAAATAAAATAGGTTGTGGTTTTGGTAAACTTATTTTTTAAGTGTTTATTGTACCCTGGGCATGACAATTATCGTTGGTGTAAATGAAATTGTTTCGGTGAACTTAATTTATGAAGCGCAAAAGTGGTTTCTTTGGCATTATGTTATATGAAATCTTAATGCAACATATTTAGTTAAGTCAGTCACACAGAGTGTATTTGATGACACTGAACAAATTGTACCCAGTTGAGCGAGTTCTGATATACGGCCCTTGTAGATATTGTGGAATCCCTACCTATATTTATTACACACATTAACAAAAAAAAAAGATTTTCAAAAAATGTATAAATAATTTTATATTTACAAATAAATAAAACTTTACCAAATGAAGATATGAACCGTATGCAAACAGGACGTTTCGGCCCCAAACCAAATCGGCCCCAGTCGAAAAATCGACCCCTGGACGTTTCGGCCCTTTTCCGCGAGACGTTTCGGCCCCACTATAGTGTATTGCTTGATTGATTAAAAACAATCAATTTAAATACAATTAAACAATTAATTAATTATGAAACTTTAATTCTTTGAATAATTATTTATTATCTTTTGATCTCTTGAACCATTTAGATATATGTTAATGTTTTTAAAGGTGTAACAAACAAAAAAGCCGGTTACTTACCTATAAAACAAACCACTAAAACTTCTGGATTAAGAAAGTTATGCACTTACAATTTTTCCTTAGAATACGTTATCTTTTGATCTTAATTAAACTATATATATGCAATTTTTTCAAAGTGTAACTAATTAACTGTTTATACTTTATGCTAATTGGGGGTTTTGTTTTGTGTCTTGCTTCTTAATCATTCAAATAAAATATTATCTATAAATGGTTAATAATTGTTTGTTTGTGTATTATATTTTTTCAAATAAAGTTCAGTTCTGTCTGTATTGATTACTTTCC